GGCGGCTGGACGGCCGGACTGGCCCACCCCAGCCGGGCCCTGCCCGGGGCCGTGCCAACCCATTGTTCTGTGCCCCCTCTTAAATATGTTATTTGCAGAGGTGCCGATTGCCTCAGTCCTGGCCTGGGGCGGGTGCATCCTGAGCGGGAGACTGCCTTCCAAGCAGTTTCTTACAAAAAGGCTAAGTGATGGTCCCCCATCAAGTTTAGAGGAGGGGGGTGACTTGTTAAGAGTCATTTAAAGAAGGAGCCACCACTGTAACCCCTCCCTTGGCACCAGCAGCAGACTGGAAGCTAGGGGAACTCTTAGCAGTTGCTTAAGGAGCCATTACGCCCCTCCCTGCTACCAGACAAAACCCCACACACAAAACCATAACAAAAGGTCATCCAGTCTAAGCCTCCAGCAATGAGCAGGGACATCTTCAACTAGATGAGGTCGCTCAGAGCCCCATCCAGCCTGACCTTGAATGTTTCCGGGGATGGGGCATCTGCCACCTCTCTGGGCAAGCTGTTCCAGTGTTTCAGCACCCCCATGGTAAAAAATGTCTTCCTTGTATCCAGCCTGAATCTACCCTCTTCTAGTTGAAAACCATTACCCCTTGCCCCATCGCTACAGGCCCTATTAAAAAGTCCGTCCCCATCTTTCTTATAATCCACCGTGAAGGACTGAAATGTGGCAATAAGGTCACCCAGAGCCTTCTCATCTCTAGGCTAAACCCCAAGTCCTTCAGCCTTTCTGCACAGAAGAGGTGTTCCAAGCCTCTTGTCATGTTTCTGTCCTTCCTCTGGACCTGCTCCAACAGGTGCATGTCTTTCCTGTGCTGAGGACTCCAGAGCTGGATGCAGTACTCCAGGTGGGGTCTCACCAGAGCAGAGTAGAGGGGGAGAATCACCTCCCTCGACTTGTTGTTTAAGGTTTTATAGATCAAAAGCCATAATTTGATGGCAGCTGTTAATAGTACCTTGGGATAGATTTGGAGGCAATAAATGAAGGGGAGCTATTATTATCATTATCATCCTCTCTGTGATATGGGTGGTCTTCAAAGGCAGTCTCAGGTTGTGTGATGCAGTAACATGACTTGTATATGATGCAGACATAGATCTAATGTGGCAGGTGCCAGAATGAGAAGTTGTAATTGTCTCTCCAAGAGCATGCAAAAGGCAATTTACAATTTACTGCTACAGCTGTACATTGGTATTTTAAAGTTTCCTAGGTAGTGCAACCCTCATGGGATTAAGCAGGACTTGCTTGGATCCCCTGACGTGGGCTTTATCAGCCTCATCTCTGCTCCTAGAACTGTGACTTTGCACTAGCTGAGGCTGATGGGAAGGGGATACAGGGTTCATTTTCCTCTTCAGCATATTGGAACTGCATTAGTGCAAAAGTCTGGGAAGATCTGGAAGCTGTGGTGTGAGGTGCTGCTAGCAGTCTTTTTTACACCCAGTAAGGTAGACTGTCCTGCACAAAGTTGGAAACTTACTGAGCTTGGACTTGAGGTTATCAACAGCAGGGTGAGGTGATGGCCTTTCCCTGTACTGTGCTGTTGCACAGGTGTCCTTTGAGTTAAAACTGAATCTCAGCCCTCCAGCTTTATTGCTACCTCAACTCACTGCACATTTGGTGACTACAAGTCATGACTGTCATAAAAAATAGTGGTTACTTACAGTTCATGGATGTTCTGTGGGCATTTGCTGTGGGTAGTGTAAAAAGTAATCCAGTTTTGCAAGGCCAAGTGGATTCTGTTTCTCAACTATTAGTAGTAAGTCCCAGCTATAGAAATGCATACTGTGTCAAAAAGGAGGCAGATTGACTTGCAGTGCTGAATTTCAGGAGGAAAATATTTTTACTTAAAGCTTCAGCGTACTTGATCTCAAATATCCAAGACATAAAGTGCAACATCAGATGCTGTTTTCTGCACAGTCGCTGCTTGTAATGGAAGCATATTTTCCATTTGAGATGATGTCACGTTGTAAGAGGTGTTTAAGCTTCTGATATGCAGACAAAGAAGTGAGTGAGACCTGTTGGGAAAGCAAAATGAGCTTCCCACATACCCCAGTTCTAGCACTAAAGGGTTGCTTCAGATACCTGGGCCCTGAGGAAAGTTTAATCTCTGTGATGAAATTAGAGCTATTTGCGGCCAGCTACATAGAAAATAGAGTGACACCAGGGACAAAATAAATCTTAACTTTTTTTCCTCTTGAAGCTTCCCAACTTCTGTGTTGCTTTTTTGAGATCTTGCTTGCCTTGTTCTATTTATGTTCTGGTCTGGAGCTTTCATGAGAAAACCAAATCTGACATTTCTCAACAAAAGTACAAACGTCTGGGGATGTGTTATATTTATCCGTTGTTTGTAATGGCACTTCTCATTCTGAGCAATTTAAAGCAAATTATGTGTCCTAGAAGAACTCCACAGCTGGTGAAAGGACTGGCTTTTAGCCTTGCTGCACTTCAGAGAGGAATATGGGAGAGAAATAAAAGTATCCCTAACTGTCTAACTGAAACCCACCTTTTAAATGGTGTTTGTTAGGGCCTGGTCCCATTGTTTCTGGGCTGTTGGCATGAGTAAGAGTTTAGCAGAATTGGGTCTTGAGCTTCTGTGGGAGGGAAGGGTTGAGAGAGGACTAGGACTCCTGCAGTTGAGCCCTCTACCCTCTAACTGGATAAAGGAAAAGCATTCCTGAGGCACTCAATTTTCAGTATGATCCAAGGTGGAACATACCTGGAAATATTCAAGGTCAGTCTGGATGAGGCTCTGAGCAACCTGATCAGGTAGAAAATGGCCCTCCTCATTGCAAGGGAGTTGAACTGGATGGTCATTAGAGGTCCCTTCCTACCCAAACTGTTCTATGATTCTGTGGTTACGGGTGCAGAGTGCTGCAGAAGAGGAGAGGAGGACTGTGAAGAAAAGATGTCTAGTGCTGACAGGCCACTGGGAGTTTCACAAGATGTAGTATAAACAACAATCCTAAAAGCCACATGACAAAGACAAGTCAAGCCGTAAGAGCTGGAAAATCAATTTAATTTCTCCAATTTCTGTTTGATTCTGTATCAGCCACAGTGTACTCTCATCTCTGTTTCCCAATGTTTCCTAGTTGTGAAATGAATAAACAAAATCTGAGTTTCCTTCTCAGAAACTTACTTTTTTCACTTTCTTGACAGGCCATGTGGATCCAGGAGAGGATGACCTGCAGACAGCCTTCCGAGAAACGCAGGAAGAGGCTGGTCTTCAGGCCAGTCAGCTCACCCTCATAGAGGGGTACAAGAAAGAACTGCACTATCCTGTCCATGGCAAACCTAAGACCGTCATTTACTGGCTGGCAGAAATGAAGGACTGTAACACAGAAATCAAGCTCTCGGAGGAGCACCAAGCTTTCCAATGGCTGAAGCTGGAAGATGCTTGCAAATTAGCAGAATATGAAGACATGCAAGCTACACTGAAAGAAGTGCATCAGTTTCTCTGCTCCAAAAAATAAATGCATTGTGAAGGTTAAGGGGATCTTTTGAAGAAGCATGGCCTGCTTTTTTTATTTTCATTTTTTTTAACTGGGAGAACAACTATGTGGCTGCAGAAATGTAGATTTGTTTTTTTTTTAAATCTATACAAATTTAGTGAAGAGCTTTTAAAGCGTTTTTGTCTCCCTTAGTCAGTGCAAAAAAGTGTGGTCTGATTGAACCATCAGCCGGAGATGTCTGAACTGAAACCTAACAAAGACTTCCTCTGTCCCTATCTCCTTTTTTTCCTTTCTTCCCCCCTTCTCCCCACCTTGAAGTGCTGAACAACCACAGGTCTTTTTGAAGAATAAAACACACTATTTCCTGGCATGCTGATGTAGAACTACAGAGCTGAGAAAATGAGCATGTGGAGAATTTTAATAACAATATGTTTACTGCAGAAGTTGTACCTTGCATTTCAAATAGGCAAGCAATGCTTCTGTTCCCAGCTCCTCCACTGATATGCTATGATAACTTGTCAGATCATTTCAGGTCTTGTTTGTTTGTATCATGAACTTATGTACATCACTAATGTACTGTTATGAAAACATTTTCTATCGAAAGAGTCTTAGTAAACAGCGGATGTACAGTATTTAAATGGTAAACTTGAAGTTCTTCTTTTGCCTCTTTTCCTTTTTGCTCTTTAACAGACACCTTGGCCATACATTATTTAGGGGGTTGGGAAAGGTAAATCTGACTGCTTAATATAGCATATTCTGCAGAGAGTATCTAAACTAATCAGGATCAGAGAGGTTGTTTCCAATGGGGATCTTATAGTAGGCATCTGATACTGACCTCCAAACCAAGATAAGGCCAACGAAGCAATATTTGGGTCAGTTAAGCAAGCTTTGTGTCAACAGAACCTGGTTTTTATAGGTGTTGTCAACTACACAGACATTTGTTGGAGGAACAATACAGCAGCTCACATGTCATCCATCAAGTTCCTGGAATGCATAGAGGACTACTTCCTCATACAAATGTTAGATGTGCCAACCAGGAATCAGGCGCTGCTGGACTCACAAACCAAGAAAACCTTCTTTGTAATATCTCACTTAGTGGTAGGCTTGGCTGCAGTGATGACAATATTGTGGAGTTTGCTGAGCATGCTGAAGGTTAGTACTAAGACAAAGGTTTTAGATTTTGGAAGGCCAAACTTCAGGTTGCTCAGAGCTCAGTTGGAAGGGATTCTGTGGGAAGCTTCCATGGGGGAAAAAGGTGCTAGTGAGTGCTGGGAGTTTTTCAAGAACGCTCTCCAGGAAGCACCAGAAGAGTTCATCTGCTCTAAAGCTAAGGGAAGTAGGTGGAGCAAGAGACGCCCTTGGCTTAAATGCAAGCTTCTGAGTCTGCTCAAAACCAAAAGAGAAGCATCCCAGAGATGGAAAACTGGGCAAATACCTGTTGAGAACTATGAGGGCATTGCCAGGGTGTGCAGAGATGCATTTAGAGAAGCAAAAGTTCAGCTGGAATTGAAGTTGGCCAGACATGTCAAAAACTACAAGAAAGGGTTCTTCAGATACATAAACAACAAGCAGAAACAGAAGCAAAAGAATGGCTGCTATTAAACAGGAGAGGTGAATTAATCATCAGCAATGCTGCAAAGGCAGAGGTTCTCAACACTTTCTTCTTCTGTCTTTGCCAGCACTGTTGGGCTCCAGGCCTTGGGAACAGCAATCCAGGTTGATGCAAACACAGACCCACTGTCAGTGAAGTAACAGCTGGTATGTGAACTATTACAGGAGCTTGACCCCTGCAAATGGATGGGCCCTGACAATATCCACCGAAGGGTGTTGAGAGAGCTGTCTGACATCTTTGAGAAGTTGTGGAGTTGGAGGGATGTCCTAGGAGACTGTGAGAAGGTTAATGTCACCCTCATCTACAACAAGGGCTTAAAGGCGGATCCAGGAAATTAGAGGCCCAGCAGTCTTACTTCAGTCCCTGGGAAAATGATGGAAAAAGTCCTCCTGGAGCTATCACAAGTCAAATGAAGTCATGGTCTTCATGACTGGGAAAAGCCAGCATGGATTCATAAAGGGCAAATCATGCATGACGAACCTGATCACCTTCTATGACAAAGTAATGTGCTCAGCTGATGTGGGGCAAGCAATGGACACTGTCTACCTGGATTTCTCCAAGGCTTTCGATATGGTTTCCCACAGCCTCCTCCTAGAGAAACTGATGTGTTATGGTCTAGGCAACTGGTCTGTGCGGTGGCTGGGGAACTGGCTGACAGGCACCACACAGAGGGTGGTGGTAGATAGCTCCTTTTCAAACTAGCAACCTGCCACAAGTGGGGTCTCCCAGGGATCAATATTGGGCCCAACACAGTTTTTATCTTCGTAAGTGATCTGAATGATGGGATCAAGTGTACCCTGATGAAGTTTGCTGATGATACCAAACTGATGGGGGGGAAGTGGACACCTTGGAAGGGAGAGCCACCCTGCAGGAAGACCTGGATGAAGTTCAGCAAGGACAAGTGTAAGGTCTTGTACCTGGGAAAACATAACCCAGGGTTGCAGCACAGACTGGGATCTACCTGGCTGGGGAGCAGCTTTCTGGAAAGGGAGCTGGGGGTCCTGGTGCACAACAAGCTCAATAGGAGTGAACAGTATGCTGCTGCAGCAAAGAAATCCAACAGGATGCTGGGTTGCATCAATGAGGGCATCACCATTCAGGTGATGGCAGAGAGTGAACGGCACATAAGTTATGTGATTGCTCTGAGTGTTTCTCAGCTAATTTTATAAGCAGAGGATGGAAGGTGTCTCCCACTGTTGCCTGGTCCAGCCCCAAGGCAGAATCAGCTATTTTGGAGGCTTTCTTGATGGACATTGAGCTAACATGCTTTTTAAGACCTCTTGTGATGAAAACACACCTTCAGCTCCTCTGTCCATACCTTGGAAGATTTGGTCTCTAGCATCTAATGTAGGTAAACTTGTGAGAAATAACTAGAAGAGAACAACCAGTAAAAGAGAGGGAGAGAAAGCAGTCAAAAGCCTGTGCTGCTTCACAGTCTCATTTTTTCATTATTGTTGGAGTTACCATTTAATCAGTGCTATGTAAAAAATGGTGGTACTACCTTAATGTTTATGAGCAAGATTAGCATATTGAGTATGAATTATAGAGAGTCATTCACAAGTCATCTGTTCTGCCCATTCAGCAGTAGTGAACCTAAGCACTTGCTGCTTTGGAAAGCACAACATTAGCTGAACTCCAAATAAGTGTTTGCATTTTAGTGGCACTGCATACATAGTGTTCCCAAGTCAAAGTTTTTGGAGGGTAACAAGTGCTGTGCACTGGAGGGCGATATGGTCCTTGGACAAAATTTCAAAGGTGGGCATCTTAATTGTGGTAGGAAATGATACAAGGGATGTAACTGTGATAATTGGTGAGGCACTGCCTGTGCATTTTGAGTGATTTATTTACAGAATTTATTGCCACAATTTTAGTGTGTAAAATTATGCTTACACATTTAGGAAACTTGACCCGAAAGTCTTGGTATTTGTTTTAAAGTGGAAAAATTGGAAAGTCAGGATTTAATTCTGTCTGTTTGTGTTCACTGCTCACTGGTGAAGAAGGAGTTCTTCTTCTGCCCATGTCTAGTAGTAAAATATTTTCCCAAGAAGTGTGTGGGAAACCCTCCAGTAAATAATTATGGAATAATCTGCCTGGGGAAGACATTTATTTCCAAACTCTATGATTTTTATGCCCTGAACCAGTAAGGTTTATATTTTCTTTCTTGAGACCAGCTAAGTTTTTGGTTATAATAATATATTGTGGCAGTTAGCTTTTTACCAGGCTGTGGATCTATGTTTAAAAAGAAAAAAAAAAAAACAGAGACTTCAAATTCCCTAGAAACCTCACTTCTGCCTTAGGTTAAATAAAATCAAACTCAAGAGAAGTCCAAGCTCCACTAAAATGGTACAACAAGTTAATTTAGGTAAAGTGAAAAGTGTTGTTTAAGTCTGAGTAAGAGGCAAGTTATGATATAAGATATGGTTTCCCGTGCTCTGATGAACAAATAATTGATGCAGCTCATACTTGTCATTTCTTAATGTTAGTATTTCTTTCTCCAAATAATTCCTGGTTTATAGCTGTGATTATGGTTTACATCATCACTAGATCAGAGAGAATGAAAGCATAAATTCATTAATATTAGGAAAGCACTAAGACATTGCAAGTTTCACTGAGAAAAGATCAGGATTGAATGTGATGGGTCACAGGTAATGATGTTCATACAAGTGTAAAGGCTGAAAACAGTGTCTTACTCCTTTCTAGAAAAAAACCCCAAACCTATATTACTGCTCTAGATGGGAGCAGTATATCTGTTTACTGAGTATTCCATATGACTATAGGAAATCTGAGACTGTAGCTGATATAAAATGGCTGATTAATGTATTATCCCTGACAAGCATCACTGATGTTACTTGTCAAAAAAAAGAAAGAGGATGTGTGTTATAATATGTTCTAATACATCTCAAATATGGAAGTATTTTGAGAGACTCTTACTCTCTCAGCAGGACTCTTGCAATGATGCAGAGAGGACGATGGAGTGCTACCTTCTAAGACAGAAAAATGACTTGCTCTTACTTAATTGATAATTTAGTGGGGGGAGTATTTTGGCAAAGATCTGAAGGATACTCTTCAATCTTTTGAGTCCTGAAGGCAGCACTCATTAGTTATGTTCTCACACTGACACAGTAACTGACAACCTTCTGTGTCTGTTGGCAGCTAGTTATATCTAAAAAAGGATTTAAGAATCATCAAGACTTCTGGTTTTCACCTTACTCTTTGTCTCAAAGGGTTTACTTTCTTACATGCTCAGTAACTCTAGAATTTCAGGGCAGTGGATAGTTGCAGCTGGCAAGAGTCTCAGCTTCATTTAGCAAAATCTGGGTTTTGTTATGGGTTAAATCAGCTCTGGAAGAGCTAAGCAGCGTGTGCCTGTACAAACCAAACAATCTGCTCTGCTTGCTTCAACGTGGTG